GCCGCGGCCGGGCCTTGCCGCCACGCGCTGGCCCGCGGCGCAGCTCTGGAAGGACGCCCCGGCTGTCGGCGTGGTGCACCGGTTAGAATCAGCTTGCTCTGGCTGTTTGGATTGGCAGGGACGTAAAGAGGAATTGCTGCTCCTATACGGCAAACGGGGAAGGTGTTGGAGTAAAACTAACGTTTGACGGATGCCGGTGTGGTTTGAGGCGGTGGCCAGCGTTGGCATCACTGTTTCTTGGTTGCCCTGTGACTACCAGTGCTGACATAGCTTAAAGAACAGCTCTCTGAAATCAGCTAACCTGTGTGTCTCATTCTTCCAGGAACGTGACAAGCTGTTAAGGTATAGGAAGCAAAGGAAAAAAATGACAAGAATCCCTAAGGTAAAAAAAAAAAACGAGCTTGTGTCATGCTGAAGGGCGCGCTGGCTCCCCGGGGCACTGCAGCGCCTGGGAGCCACGCAGGGGGACGTTCTCCTCCAGGGCCTACAGACGGGTCCCAGGCTGAAGGCTGGGCCACGTAGTTGGGGGACGTTCGCAGGCTGCGTTGGGACATTCAGACAAGGTCTGGTAGGGGCAGGGGCACCCCTTGCATTCCTGTGCTCGCTCTGTGTGTACCTCAGGCAGTCCTGTGGGACTTCAGTGGTACGTGACTGTCTTAAGATGAGAGGGATTTTGTGAATTAATGCATCTCAAAATGCTCTTCTAATGGCGCTGCCTGAAAACATGTAGGTTGCAAATAATTCATTATGGAGTTCAGTAACGTGCAAAAATTGCAGGTTATGAGAAGCAATGGTTAGAGCTCAGAGAAAAAGAAAATTTTAGTTAACGAACACGTGGCAGGATGTTAATGTAAATATTGACACTGTAGGGATGTGGTAAGGTGTGATGTCAGGGACCTGAGAACAAGCTGTGTTCTGCATGGGAAGAATGAAGGTGGTGCTGGAGCTGACGGGTCTATAAATAACGAATTGCAGTCAATGTGAGATAACTCAACTCCTGTTGTCCTGCAAATGGCAACCAGGCCTTTGGGAGAGAGTTATGTTTTGTCTCCTTCAAAAGTTATCTGCTGCAAATTGAAACAAAACCCAAAATCTACAAATGATTTTGCAAATCAACATTTAAAAATACTTTGGAGCTGTGTTTGGAATGTCGTCTGTGGCTTTCAAGCATTTAACAGTAAATCTTTCTTTACCACCACTGCCCTCATTCTTTTAAACAGAAAGCAGCCTGGAGTGGAGAAATGGATTTCTTCAAACTGTAGCCCCATGGCTGTGGTGAATAACTTCAGCTTTTCAAGCAGAACATTTCTTGCAAATCTAACTGTTCACGTGAGAGATGCGGTAGTGGCCGGAGGGACGTGGTGGCACCGACAGTGGGTTAACAAAACACGTCGATGCCCAGCTCCCGGCTCAGGCTGAGGTGAACACACAGAAGTGAGCAGGGCGCTCTGCCTCGCTAGAGGGATCGGGAGGAACTTAGATTAGGGAGAGGCGGGGGCTTTGAGGTTGCACGCCGTGGTACCTCGTACCGAGCACGGCAATTCAGCGGTTCGGATAGCTTTAGCTGTCGTCAGAGCGCTGTCCTGGGGTGAGAAAACGTCACCCGAGTGCGCGTGAGGAACCGGGCAGCTTGGCAAAACGGGGTGGAGTGAGAATCACCCACGGTCTGGAGCTGGGCTTCCTCCAAAGGGGCTGTGCTCAGACCCTACAAAGCGCAGGGTTTAGCCATGCCTCCGCAGTCACTGCAGTCCCCCCGACGCCGTCGGGCTGGCGCAGCCGGCGGCACCGCTCCCGGGCGGCACCGCTCCTGTGCAGCACGGCTGCGCCCGCTGACGCCTTCTCTCTGTCAGAAGCCGGTTGTGGAGACATTTTTCGGCTATGATGAAGAAGCTTCCTTGGAGTCCGATGGTTCCTCTATCTCGTATCAAACGGACCGGACAGATCAAACCCCTTGCACTCCTGAAGATGACTTGGAAGAGGTATTCATCAAAAATATGAGTGGTTTTGTTTTGAAACCTTGCTACTAATCCCTGGTGTGTTATATCGTTCTTTTGTCACCTCTGACCAGAAAATTAATGTTACATTTAATACTGTGCCTGTTGGTTAATATCTCTGGATCTCAAGTAATCTCACAGTTTTTAGGCGAGCTGGAAATACTATATCCTGAGAATACTAGGTTTATAAGGGGATTATAGGCTAGAGGCCTAAAGAGACTGAGAAGCTGGACAGCCCTGGGAAGATCTGCTCGCAGGGAGATTTGCTGCAGGTTTGTGTGCGTGTGGTTTGGTTCAGGTCCTTCTGTTTGTCCTTCTGACCCCGGCGCAGAGCGCAGCCCTGAGCGGTCCGGTTTGTGTTTCTGGAAGGAGCAGCGAGCCGTCAGCCCCGCGCCGCTCTCCAGAGGACAGGCTGTCGCCGCGCCGGGGTGCCGAGGCCGTGGCTCCTCTGGGGGCTGGGATTGCAGAGTGGCAGAGGGAGCCGGTAACGCCAGGAAAAGCGCTTGTTGCTGGTGCTCTGCAGGGCTCCCTACAAAGGCGTTCCCGAGGGGCCAGATCACTACCGTGACACGGGGCTGGCTTTAGCAGGAACCTTGTCGTCAGCGGAACATTGCCCATAAGGACTTGCAGCCGTTGGATGGCACGCTGGCTGCAGCTGGTCACCTGCCGGCTCACCTGCGCCATGGGCTGTGTTAGGTCTTCTTCAGGGAACCTAGAGAGCTCCTGTCTCCATTGTAAGAGACAAACCGGTTACCGGGGGTGTGCTGCGCTGCAGGGAACCTGAAGGTGGTTTTGTATGTATGAGCCCAGTTATTTTTCATTCCTGCGTTGACATTTTTCTCCCTGTTCAGACAGCGCGAAGTCTGTGCATGCGACCAGCAGTGTAATTCCATTTCATGTCGAGTGAAATATTCCCGTCAACCTGACATGAAAGTGTTCGGTGCTGGATGTGGCGAGGAGAGTGAAGAGGATGAAGGGCTCTTTTCATGTTGATGTCACCAGTTCTACAAGTATTAACTGTAGATCAGTGTTTTAATAATTGAGTGAGACTGTCAGGCCTGGCTTATTCTCCGGATTGAAAATCTTCTGTTGTTGCAGGGAAGTTGTCTTTTCACCTGTGAGTGTGATGGCTTTGCCTGTTGCAGTACTACAGAGTGATTCGGTCATTAGCGTGTTAGATGGATGGCAAGTTTTTATCTTTCCAAGGCTGGGGGAATTCTCTTTTTTTTTTTTCTTCTATATTGCATTTTGCTGAAGTAAATGTATGCAAGAGATGTTTAAAGGGCAAAAGAGAGAGAGCCTGAGGGCACGTAGACAGGATCCTTAGTACTGTGCTTCCCGAATTGCATTTTGAAAGTACTAATTTTGGCACAGCAAACGTAACGCACTCTTTTACAATATTTTTTATTTTCCTTGCAGAAAAAAAGCAGCCGGTGCAATGCATGTTTGTTCTTAATCCCAGGGCATGGCCAAGGAAGAGACAGAACTGCGGTTCCGGCAGCTGACGATGGAGTACCAGGCTCTGCAACGAGCATACGCCCTATTGCAAGAACAGGTCGGAGGAACATTGGATGCAGAACGAGAAGTTAAGGTCTAAATGGCTTATATTACATGAAATAAAGGCTTGTGGTTGTATGGGGGGTTCAAGCTGTACTTGCTCGGGTTGTTTTCAGGCTAAACTGGGGCCAGCCAGCCCCTCCAGCACGCTGGGGCTGGGGCTGCAGGGCAGGGGACCGGGCAGGGCTGGCTGCCGAGGCGGGCACCAGCTCCCTAACCCCAGCCAGCCTGTCCAGCCTCCCGTGAAGGGCCGGCTGGCTGGAGGAGCCACCGTTGCTACCGTTTAGTCTTTTCATCTCTGGTCGGATTATGAGAAATTCAGAGAGAGTTTTTATGGGGAATCCTTAACATTAAGCTCCCTTTCTATAAAAATCTGGGACAGATAGCCTTAAATATGTAATGCCTGGTATTTAATTCCTTCTGGGTTCTGTGGGATTACAGGATTCCTCATAAAATATTTAGAAGGCTTATAGCTGAGGTTCTGTTTCTTAATTAAATTGCAAAGTGTCCGGTGCTGTTCTGCCTGCCTCTGCCTCACACAGCCCGTGTGGCTTCAAACATCTGGCATGAAATGTTATGTTTACTATGAGTGTGTGGTGCATTACAAGGAGCTGCCAGGACTTACCATGCACGGAATGCAGGGCTGAATACAGTAAATAAGGGGACAAATTCTGTTCTGAGCTAACAGCTGAAGTTTGATAGCAGAGGTGTAGCTGCAAGGTCTTAACTGGGCTCTGTAGCTACTCTCTGAAGGTGTTACCCAGGAACACTTGGGGTAGTTCAAGGGATGGCAATGCCGGGAGATACCTGTGTCATCCAGCCCGGTGCCTCTGGTGGGGACACCTCCGGCAGCTGTGGCCCCGCACCCTGTGCCACCAAGCTGTGACTGTCCCAGTTGGCCCCAGTCAGGCATCAAGCAAACGGCCAAATTCCTCTAGCTGCCTTCCATCTTTACAGTAATATTTTGGCTTTCCCAGCTGGGTCACTAGCCTGCCTTTCTCCCACTGAATAGTTAAAGAACAAACTGCTAATTTCACCGCTGCCTGCACTGGGGAGTTCCTCTCAGGTGCCCAGATCCAGCAGCACCTTATCTCCCTGCGGCCTCCCTGTCTGGCAATCACAGAGCGCCCCACGATCCCTGAACGCCCCCACACGTTAAAGCTGACATTCCCAGAAGCCTGCACTCTGCTCCAGAGGGTTAGGGGTGCACTCATAGAGAAAATCGTAATGAAGCAAGAGCTGCAAGAAGCCGGCTACGTTTTGCTGCCCTCCCAGCGACCTGGCGGGACGCTGCTTATGTTGATCTTGGCTTACGTCTCAAAACCGTTATCCCATCCTACAGGCTTCTTTTGGGGATTAGTGACTGATGCCGTGTGCTTAGCTGCAGATTTATTCTGCCAAAGGACTTTAATCATCGTTTGTTTAAAGGGGTTGATGCTTTAAGTGTTTTCTGGACCTGTGCTAGCTTTTGTCTTTCAGAGGAAGTTTGGTTTATGGCTTTGTTTTCTTTCCCCTCGTACCTACAGACACGTGAGCAGCTCCAAGCAGAGATACACCGCTCGCAGGCTCAGATCGAAGATCTGGAGAAGGCCCTCGCGGAGCAGGGGCAGGTAACGCGTGCGGCCGGCACCGGCCCCTTCTCCAGCCTTCGCTGGGGCAGGAGGGGGCTCGCGAGACCTGCTGCCGTGCTGCTGTGCGGTACGGCAGGTCCTGGCGAGGGCTGATGGACGTACAGAACAGTCCTGATGCCACTTTCCAACAGCCGGTGCATTTCACACAAAGGAGACGTGCTAGGGAACTAGAGGAAAGGTTGCCAGGCTGTTTCTAGCTTGCGTCTTACTTTTCCAGGCAAAAGGAAAAAAAAAAGGGAAAAGAAAAAAAAAAAAAAAAACAGAAAATGTTTTTTGATAAGTTTAAAATAAAACTGATTTGTTTGATCGTTATCTTTGCTGCTTAACCTCTTATTATTAACCTTACTAATAAATAATGTTCTGGGGTTTGTGGGTTTCATATATTTATCAAAGAAATTAGTTTTAAAATAAGGTTTATATTGCCTATTGGTCAGGAAATATGTAATTCGTATTCAGTGTAATAGAAATTCAATAGTAGATACATAGCTGGAAATATCCCTTTTAAGGCAAACCATTTTTTTCTCTGA